AATATTATTTAAAAAAAAGAACAGTAATGGTAAAAGCTGCTGAAAATGCAAGAACTGCAAAAACCAACTTCAAAGCTGATTTGCAGATATATGACATAGGACATAATCAACAGAAGTGTTAGATTTGAAAAATCCAAAGTGAAGACTAAACCAGTTTAACCAGTTTATGGATCAGGATCCCCTCTGGCATAAAGAATACAGCAGAAACATCCATATACTCTTTCTAAGCACATATATTGAGAAAGAACAAGATGCTTTGCCAAATTCAGTTGGGACTGCAACTATATAGTCCACATCAACAGTTATATTCACTCCAGAAGCTTAACCAGGGCACTGAAAGGCCTAGAGAATGGCTAGCTGGGGAATTCTGGAGTTGAAGTCTGCGCATCTTAAAGTTGCCAAATTTGAGAAATGCTGGCCTAGAGCATTCAACATGCTAAGCTTGCTTAGTTTTAACCTTACTTTGTTTCTTCATAACTTTGTGGGCTGTGCATCTTAATTTATGGTTCAGTGTATTATGTTTACTCAGAAAATGGGTTAATTCAATAAATACAGCCTATAATGTTTACTGAAAAGTCACTCCCACTGGATACAAGGAGGCTTATTTTCCAGCAAGGATGCAGTTATCTGCAGCCTCTGTCTGGGAAACAAAGTTTCCAACTCAGTCCTAGGCAGAAGCTATTTTTATTTATTTTATTATATCATGCCTCTCCTCCAGAAGCACATAATTTCCTCCGTGTCATTTTATACTGTACTCCTATAAAACCTGGTGGGCTGAGGAACAGCGCTCAGCCCAGAGAACCCAATTAACGTCCATATTCAAATAGGAATTTGAACTCAGGTCTCTCCAATCCTAGACCAATATTCTGACAGGGTTTTCAGATTCCACTAAGCCATAATTTTGAGCATGAAACTGAGCAAACTCAGGGAGGCAGTGAAGGACAGGAAGGCCTGGTGCAATATGGTTCATGGGGTCACGAAGAGTCGGACACGACTTAACGACTGAACAAGCCATAATTTACTTCACCACGTTCTGCTGTATAGGGCACCACTGGGTAGATATGCTCAAGCTAAGCCATCAACCCTGGTTGGAAAAGCACAACGACTGAGTTCATACATGTCAATCCAAACACATTACGGACTAGTGTGATGTGTGCTTCTACTGCGGAAGAGGGCTTTCACTTGGTTACTGCAGAGGTGTGGGCATTGCACAGTCGTATTTACACATCCCTTGTGAACAGTGACACTCCCTACTTGCTCCAGCAGTGTGGGGAGTCCACCTTGGGGGACGCTGCTCTTCCTCCTGGAGGGGCTCCGGTGAAGAAAGCGGGCAGAGCCTCCTCTTCTCCTGCGCTTGCAGGGCGGGAAAGGGGGCTGGTATCAGAGACGGAGAGCGCCCTCCTCACCTGGCCTCCCCCTGCGCTTTCCTCGGGCGCCCCGATGCTAGGTAACCGCTCAGAAGCCTTCGGCGTCCCAAGAGCCTGGGAGGCGTTCGCCTCAGGGTGTGTCCCCAGATCCGCCCTGCCTGCGCCCTCTCTGTGCAAGACAAGACTCCGTGCAAGACAAACGCAGAGCCCGAGCGGCGTTAAAGCGCAAAGCCCCCCACTCTACCTGCTCTGGATCGTAGGACGAGGACGCCTCTTTCTCCTCTCTTCGGGCTCGATTTTAGCCGAAGAAGTTTTCTTCCCGGAAAAGGGGAGAGCCCGCCCAAGTCCTCTTTTTATAGGTTGCCATTCGTCAGGTTCCACGCCTGTCCGGAGGCTGGCACCGCCTCCTCGTCGTTGGATGGGGAAGTTTTCTTGCCCGCGGGATGGGGCGGGAGGGGAGCGGGATGGCGTGCTGGGCTGCTGTTCAGGGAAGCGGGAGATGTATTCGGGGCCCTGGAGGGCGTGACTCAGCCTGCGGGAAGCGCGCCCGGCCCTCTGTTTCCTCCACGTCCCAGAGCTGGGCTCCGGGCCCGTTTGGCGGCATTGAATTGCACGACGTGGGAGGACTGGCAGGATCGCGCCATATCCCGGAGGAAGAGCGGCGGGAGAATGCGTGAGCGTGGAAATCAGGGGCGCTGAAGCAGAAGAGGCGGTTGAAATAAAAGGCGAGCGAGGGAGAAAATGTGGCTCTCGGTAATAAAAAGAGAAGGGAGGAGCGAGCCCTGCTGGCGAGGAGTAGTGCAGAGCGATCTTTTTCAAGGGCAAAAAAAGGTTGCGAGGAAGGGAAGAAGCAGCAAGCGGGAGATAGACCGTCTCAGGGGCCTCAGGTCTTAACGTGGCACCAAGCTATTGAACGGGCAAAAGTTGCCTAAAGTAGTTCACAAGAATCCTCGAGGCTGGGGTATGCAGTGCCTGTTGACTGGAGGACTGCATTAAGATCTGTCTGGCACAACCAGCAAGGCCACACTCCCAAAGTGGCTAGGGCAGTGTGCTCAACCGTGACAACTTCAAGATGTGTGGACTTCAACTCCCTGCTGGCTGGGGAATTCTGGGAATTGAAGTCCACACATCTTAAAGTACTATAAAATGGATACCCTGAGCACCTGTGAGGCTTACGGCACTCATTTTGATCCTTAGCCCCCCAAGAGTAAACACACTCCGGGGCCCAGAAAGCAATGCTAGAGGGCATATGTGGCTTGTGGGCTGTGCCATTTTCATCCTGGCCTTTAAGGAAAGACTGTGGAGTTGGCAGTATGGTGGTCATGGGCACAGAATCCTAGGTTCCTCATTTAATGCCCACCAGGCTTCCTGACCCATCTGACCTTAAAATAAGTCATGAAAAGATTATCTTAACTAAAAAAAAAAAAAAAAAGGAACTGGTATGTTGCAAAGCACCAACTTGTAACTTATTTATTTACAAGACAGCCTTTGGGCCTTGCTAGGATGATATCATCCTTCTGATAACTGGTTTTTGTGACTACAATGCCTGGCATGACAGCCATTTTGTGAGTGTGCCCACTGTAAAATTCATGATACGTTCCCATCCCCGATGGTTGCATGCCTCTGTTATCGCAGAATAGTAGAGCACCTATTTTTCATGCAACGGAACTTCAAGAATAGCTGCATCTTTGGCTTTCATTCATAGCTGCAGGAAGCACTGTGTGGAAACACTCTCTGACATCGAAATGCAGAAAATGTAGTCAGAAGAGAAACTGTAAAGCAAAGAACTAGGACCATTTCATTTCATACATTACTTGTAGGAATAAAGGAACAGTTGTGCACCGAACTAATCTGTGAGGTTTAATAAAGGGATAAAGTGTATCTACATAGAAGCCAGGCGAAGCAAGAGTAAGGGACAATGAAAAGTTAGTTGCAGATAAATGTAACAAGGATGGACAATACAATATGTAACAAAAAAAAGTCTTAAGAGTCATAAAACTGATGGTAAAAACTTTTGTAGACCACAGCTGTTTTTGCTATTCCTTAAGGTGTTAGAGGATGCTCTTTTTTTAATCCTTTGGAAATGTTAATAATGATTGGTTGTAGCAGTAACAAAAGAAAGTAGTAACAATTAGTAGCTTGTAACGAGATAAACTTAATATTTAATTAGTTGCCAGAGGAAATCCTGCTAAGAATAGAGTGAGAGTAGTCTGAGCAGGTAGCATCATCTGGCAGACCTTGTCAGGGCTTTGAAAGCAAACAGGGTCTGGCCCAGTTAGCACTTGGACGGGAGACCATCAGAAAATTTAGGAAGCAGGCTACTTTGGGAAGTTGAAAAAACATTCTTCAGTGGTCACTTTGGAGAGATTTTGGAGGCTGCATTCAAAGCTTGGGAGAGCAGCAGGGAGCCTTTTGGCAAAAGGTTGCTTGTTCTCTTTTAGATGCCACTGCCAATCAACAGACACTTTCTTCTGTAAGGTGATGAAATCGGGATAGAAGAAATGATGGGCAGTAAAGAGCAACACATCAAATATGCCAGTGATTGGATCTCTGTAAAATTTAAAAAATAAAGCGGAACAGTTGCGCAATAAAAGTCCTACCTTGAAGTTTCCTCACAAACAGGAACTGATCTGATGGCTGGTGTGGGTCTTCCAGGCTGTGTGGCCGTGTTCTGTAAGTTTTGTTTCCTAACATTTCACCAGCATCTGTGACCAGCATCTTCAGAGGGAAGGAGCACAGACAGGAGCAGTTCAGTCTGCCCTCTGAAGATGCCGGTCACGGATGCTGTGAAGATCTGTGGCCACACAGCCCGGAAAACCCACACCAGCCATCGTATTCCGGCCGTGAAAGCCTTCGACAATACAAGGAACTGATCTACTTGGCATGTTCTGTGGAAAAAAAGTTGTAAGCCTTGCTCACCTAACAAAGAGAGAATGATGTATTTTGATTTGTCATATGGGAAAAAGCTGTAACTCCTGTTAACTCATGAGGCTGAAAGACGTGACATTATAATGCTATGACATTTTGAAGCAGCCGTAGGCAAAGATCGATGCTTCTCTAGAATTACACTGAAAAAATTACATTGACACAGTAAATACTGCCCTGACTTATAGTAGGAGGAAGTTAGAGAAGGGAGGATGACAGTGACCATTAATTTGATTCACATATCTGTTCTGGCCACAGCTGAATTTGCTGAAGCCCCCATCTTTTGAACAAACGAAGATTAAGTGATGGAATGATTGACTGAAGGGGACTTTGAGATCAAGCAACTGTTAACTCCATAAGTAAATGTTTGGGCAAATGTTCTGATGTTAAATATGAGAATGCCATTCTGCATTATGTTCCAAAATTATGGAATTGTACCATTTTTGAGGAACATTACTATACTGGGCATTGGAAATAGCTAGGAGTATTATACTGAGAGATTGGAAAAGCGCTGCTACTCCAGACATCAAGGACTGTATTCAAGAAATGAGTTACATCAATTTTTGAGAAGGACATTTTTTTTCTACTGATCAAAGCATGATCACAATATATTTCCTTTTGGCATAGATTTCATAATATTTTGTAGGAATAGACAAATCTTTATATGTAATTTGATTTATTATTAAATATATATGTGATATATTTAGGTGATTTAAGTCAATTTAACATATTCTTAGACTTTTTGTCCCTTTATTTTTCTTTAGTTTTGTAATATATCTTAACAATTAATTAGATTATCTGTTGGATGGTATATATTATTTTTAATATGTTTTTGTTCATTTTTGTGGCATATTACGTATTGCAATAAAAGAAGAAGAAAAATCTAGGAATGGCCAATTCCTGACTGAAAAGAAGTGGAGGGAGTCATGGTTAATAGAATTTAGATGTTGAAGAGAGGGCAATCTTTAGCCAGCATCAGCATTTAACAGGCACTGTAATTCTGTTTCAGAGGGTCAATTCAGGGCTGCAATGTTGCAGGTGCAAGAGAAATAAGTTTTTCCTGATACTTAACCCATGGAAGATTAAAGGCGCAAGGGACAAGAATTAGAAGAGCAGATGTTTTTAACTGCACTTGAGAGATCGGCAGCAGCAGATTAACTTCCTGCAAATGTGCCTCCACCCAATTCTCCTGAATAGAGAGGTGGCATCAATGTCCAGTTGATAGGGAGTGCATCAAATTACAATTGCAGTGGGGAAATGGATACTGCATGAAGGTTTCCTTCAATGAACCAATCATCTCTGAACATTGAACAAATACAATGTTCAATGTATACAGATGAACTCACGTACCTTTAAGCGTCTGTGTCTAACCACACACAACTCACTCCAGTGAACCCCTTGTTATGTTCATATAATGCTTATTTCTGTGATCTTGTCTGGCCAGTAGGAATCCAAAGCAGGAAGCTAAACAAGCCAAACAGTAACAATATGGACATTACCAAGTCCTAAGTGCTGCTGCTGACCAATGAGAAAAGGTATTTCCCTGCAGGGTAGTGTTGGACCCAAAACGGGGTTCTTAGCCCGGAGACAACTGCCAATAACTTCGCCAGACACGAGAAACTTTTTAGGGCAAAATGCCTTTATTGGTGCGCAACGGTAAAGGGGATACCTCTATCTAAAGAGGCTCCCTGAACACAAAGAGATCAGGGTTTTTATA